GATATTTATGTCTTTCATTCAGCATTTTAAGTTCATCTGATTCCAGTTCTTCTGAAATGATGCAATGAATAGTGGAATATGATATACCTGAGTTCCAATCCTGCCTTACTAGCTTTGACATCGTGGACCATGTCACCATGCCTCAGCTTCCTTATTTGTAAATACGGAAAGAAGTTAACTTGTTCACCTCTAAGTTTCATCTTAGCTCTAAACCTATGATCTGAACAAAAGTTCTTTGTGTTACATCACACTGCCTCAAAGAAAGTTGCATATTTAAGAATATCTCTACTAGCAGGATTCCTGGGCATTGCAATACTTACTACGGGACAGGTCTTGTTGAGTAGAAAGAATCTGGGGCTCCCTCTAGGACTGACTCACCATGGGCCCCTGGATAGGTGCTTCCTCATTCTGAGCTTCAGCCTCACCACTTGCAATATGAGGAGGATGGCATCGAAGGTCTATTCCAGCTCCTCAGTGCTGCGTTTCATGAGGTACCAAAAAGCAAAAAAATAAATAAATAAAAAGGAGATGTGTAGAAAGGAAGAGTGAAATATGGGACTGACTTTGGAAAACCTGGTGTTGGAAAGCTGAGGGAAAATAAAAGTCTGTGCTCTCACCAGCCTTCCCTCTTCTTTTCTTTTTTTTTTAAATTAATATATTTATTTTTAGTTTTCAACCTTCACTTCCACAAGATTTTGAGTTCCAAATTGTCTCCTTATCTCTCCCCTCCCCCACCCCAAGACAGTGTACATTCTGAATAGCCCTTCCCTTGATCTGTGCTCCCTTTGATCACCTCTCCCTTCTCTTATCCCCTTCCCTTTCTATTTTCCTGTAGGGCAGGATAGATTTCTATACCCCATTGCCTGTATATCTTATTTCCCAGGTGCATGCAAAAACAATTTTTAATATTTGTTTTTAAAACTTTGGGTTCCAAATTCTCTCCCTTCCTCCTTGCCTCCCACCCTCAAGAAGGCAAGCAACTTGATACAGGCTATATATGTATAGTCATACAAAACATTTCCATAATAGCCATGTTGTGAAAAACTTTCCTTTCATCCTATCCCACCCCTGATTTATTCTATTCTCTCTTTTGACCCTGTCCCTCCTTAGAAGTGTTTGCTTCTGATTACACCTTCCCCCAATCTGCCCTCCCTTCTATCATCCTCCCCTCTCTTATCCCCTTCCCCTCTATTTTCCTGTAGGGTAAGATAGATTTCCATACCCAAATGAGTGTGTATAGTATTCCCTCCTTAAGCCAAATCTGATGAGAATAAGATTCATTCATTCCCTCTCACCTCTCCCCCTTCCCCTCCATGGTTAAAAGCTTTTTCTTCCCTCTTTTATGCCAGATAATTTACCCCATTCTACCTCTCCCTTTCTCCCTGTACAATCCTCTCTTACCCCTTAATTTTATTTTTTTAGATATCATCCCTTCATATTCAACTCACCCTGTGTCCTCTCTCTCTCTCTCTCTCTAAATGCATATATATATATATATATATATATGTATGTATGTATGTATGTATGTATATGTATATTCCCTCCAACTACCCTGATACTGAGAAAGGTCTCATGAGTTACAAATATTATCTTTCCATGTAGGAATGTAAACAGTTCAACTTTAATAAGTCCCTTATGATTTCTCTTTCTTGTTTGACTTTTCATGCTTCTCTTGAATCTTGTATTTGAAAGTCAGATTTTCTATTCAGCTCTGATTTTTTCATCAAGAATGCTTGAAAGTCCTCTATCTCACTGAAAGTTCATTTTTCCCCCAAAGGATTATATTCAGTTTTGCTGGGTAGGTGATTCTTGGTTTTAATCCTAGCTCCTTTGACCTCCAGAATATCATATTCCAAGCCCTCTGATCCCTTAATGTAGAAGCTGTTATCCTGATTGTGTTTTCACAATATTTGATTTCTTTCTGGCTGCTTACAATATTTTCTCCTTGACCTAGGAACTCTGGAATTTGGCTATAATATTCCTAGGAATTTTCCTTTGGGGATCTCTTTCAGGAGGTGATTGGTGGATTCTTTCAATTTCTATTTTACCCTCTGGTTCTAAAATATCAGGGCAGTTTCCCCTGATAATGTCTTGAAAGATGATGTCTAGGCTCTGTTTTTTGATCATGGCTTTTAACAGTTTTTAAATGATCTCTCCTGGATCTATTTCCCAGGTCAGTTGCTTTTCCAATGAGATATTTCACATTGTCTTCTATTTTTTTCATTCTTTTGGTTTTGTTTTATAGTTTCTTGATTTCTCATGAAGTCATTACCATCGATTTGCTCCATTCTAGTTTTTAAGGAATTATTTTCTTCAGTGAACTTTTTAACTTCTTTTTTCCATTTGGTCAAGTCTTCTTTTTAAGGCATTTTCCTCTTCATTGGATTTTTGTATCTCTTTTGCCATTTGGGTTAGTCTGTTTTTTTAAGGTGTTATTTTCTTCAATTTTTTTTTGGGTCTCCTTTAGCAAACTGTTGGCTTGTTTTTCATGATTTTCTTGCATCACTCTCATTTCTCTTCCCAGTTTTTCCTCTACTTCTCTTACTTGCTTCTCAAAACCCCTTTTGAACTCTTCCATGGCCTGGGACTGATTTATATTTTTCTTGGAGGCTTTGGATGTAGGAACTTTGACTTTGTTGTCTTCTTCTGGTTGTATGTTTTGATCTTCTTTGTCACCAAAGAAAGATTCTATGGTCTGACTCTTTTGCATAGTTTACTCATGTTCCCAGCAAATTATTTGACTATTAAACTCTTTGTTAAGGTAGGGGTCTGCTTCCAGTGTGGAGGGTGTACTATCTGAAGCTTCAGGGGGTTTGTGCAGCTGTTTTCAGAGATACTTCTCGGGACCTATAAATTTTCACTTCTTCCAAGGTGGTATGATCAAAGGCAAAGTATTTACTCCTTTCCTGGCCTGTACTCTAGTCTGTGAGTGACCACAAGCACTCTTTTATGCCTTGGAACCATGAGGAAGATTCCTTCTCCACCACGGCCATAAATTCCAGCATGTCAACACTCCTCCTAGCCTCAGGACTGCAACCTACATCCAAGCATGGACAAAGCAAGAGAATCCTGCCCCAGCGCCAGCAAAGAGATCCCTGTAATCCCCTTCTGATCAGCTGCTTGATATCCCCTCCATCTGTGGGCCAAGAGCTCCAGAGGCAGCCACCACCCCTGGGCTGTACCAAGACTGGGGTCAGACCCCACCCCTCTCTCACACAGATCCGACAGACCTGTCCTACTGACCTTCTAAGTTGTCTTTGGCATTTGTGGGTTGAGAAGTCTAGAAACTGCCACAGCTCCCCTTGATTCAGTTCCCTGAAGCCTGCTCCTGGTTTGCTGAGGTCTGGTCTTTGCCTGCACGCCCACACTGAACTGCACTCCTCTCCCAGCCTGGCATAAAAAATCTTTCCAATCAACCATCCAGGTTGTCTTGGTCTGGAAATTTGTTTCACTCTGTCTTTTTGTGGGTTCTGTTGCTCTAGAATTTGTTTAGAGCCATTTTTTACAGGTATTTGGAGGGATTGGCGAGAGCTCAAGCAAGTCACTGCTTTTACTCCACCCCCCCAATCCCTCTTCTTTTCCCTCAGCTCAAACACTGCCCAGTTTTCCCAGGCAATGAAAGCGGCTCAGGATGTTGCAGTCTTTGCTACATGTACAGGGTTCTCTTCTGAATCTCAGAAGCAGCCCTAATCCATGCCAGCACTGTCTATTCTTCTGCCATTTTCTTCCATTCCTCATATCTACAAGACACAGCCCTTGCCCTTCTAGGTCTGTGAGAGAGAGAAAATCTAGGTGTATATGGAGGCAGGGAGAAGACAGATGACTGGTGAGAGGCAGAATTTACTAAGGGAATATCTGGGTAGAAAAAACCACAAGGTATAGGTGGCACAGTGGATAGAATATCAGGCCTGAAGTCAGGAGGACTGCTCTTCCTGAGTTCAAATCTGGCCTCAGAAACTTACTAGCTTTGTGACCCTGGGCAAATCACTTAACCCTGTTTGCCTCAGTTTTCTTATCCATAAAATGAGATGGAGAAGGAAATGGCAAACCACTCCAGTATCTTTGCCAAGAATATGCCAAATGGAGTCATGAAAAGGCAGACATTACTGAAAATGACATTTTTCAGTTGAACAACAACAACATAGAATAGATAGAAAGCTGACTTCAAAGATGGGAAAAGCTGGATTCAAATCTTGTCCCTCACATATTATGAAACCTTTCAGGAATTTATGAAAATAATAATAAATAAATTAATATTCTGGGCCATTTGAACATATTTTTCTTTCCTCTATAAGATTAGAAATTGCAGAGAAGGTGGTAATCTGAATTTGCAAGGGGGATTCCTTATTCTGGGAGTTCTCTATACTAACAGGTCACAGGTCTAACCTCTTTAACCCTTGGGCAGCAGTGTGAAGGAAAATTTTGAGTTGTGACTGACTGGAAACAGGAAGACCAGTTAGGAATGCAGACTAGAATCACCCATTAAAAGCTCATGGGGATCTCGGAAATCATCTGTTAGTAGAACAGAAGCTCCTTATAGTCTAGGACTGTTTTGGTTTTGTCTTTTTATACCCAGTGACTTGCATGTGAAGGGTGCTCAATAAACATTTCTTGAATTGAATGAACTAAAAAGGTCTCTGAAGCCCAAAGATTTTAAGGGGCTTAGCATCAGAGATCTAAAGCCCAAAGTCAGAGCCCACCCCCTCCATGTTACAGATGGGGAAGGTGAGGCCCAGAGATTAGTCGACCTGTCCATGGGTACAGTTTAGTAGCAGCAATAATTTAAACTGAGGGCCTACCACTTAACATCCAGTCTTCTTTCTACTTTCCTTTGTATGTATTTGTGGAGAAAACATTCTCTGAACACTGATTCCCTGTTTCAGGAGAGCCCTCCAATGTTACTTTGCTGATTTGTTCGAGGAGTCTATGTGTGGAAAAAAATAACCACAGGTTAACGTGGAAAAGCTCATTGGTCAACACCTCTGTTTTCTCTTCCACAGCACGAATCATAAAAACCAAGCAGTGGTGTGACATGCTTCCCTGTTTAGAAGGAGAAGGCTGTGACTTGTTAATCAATAGATCCGGCTGGACCTGCACCCAGCCTGGAGGACGGATAAAGACAACCACGGTAAGTTGCCCTTGCATGTGTCTTGGCTGCCTTCTGACCCAGCCCTGCTGCCCATCTGGAAGAGACCCAATGGGGTCTTCTTCCCATCTTCTGTGTCGAAAAGGGCAGTTTCTCATGTGAGTTTTAAATTGAACATTGGTAGTAAGGAAAATTTAAAAGATTTTTTCCTATGACAACCTACTTGGCATCCTCTCCATTCTTTTCGCAAAGTCAAAGGGTCAGTTCTCAGTGTCCATTCCTCAGACCCTTGGCTCGACTTGCTGACTTCTTAGTCCATCTGACAAAAAGGAGTTAGAGCCATTATCAGACCCCCACTTCATATATCAAGTACCTGTCTGGAATTAATGTTAGCTCAATATTTGATGGTAGCCTTCATGGGAAGAGGATCCTAAAAACCGAGGAGAGATACCTTAAGAGCAGTAGTACACATACATACATAGACACACACACACGTGTATGTGTGTGTGTGTGTGTATTCAAAATTTTCATAATGCTACTTGATTAACTTTTCTTGAGCTGAAACATCCCCCCTCCCCTCAGGTGGGAAACATAAATTTGTTTTAGCAAAACATTTGATCGGTTAAGACATACTAGAGGAAGGGAGATGACCTGAAAGAGTCTTTCTTTCCACTCCTCCACATTCCTGGCCTGTGTCCTAACCATTCTCACACCTCTCATGGCTGGGTTCAGGACCAAGGACAGCAACTAGGGCCTGCAGATCGGTAGCCCAACCTCAGGCCAATGGGAAATCCAAGGAACGGTCATGGGTGACGAGAACAGGGATGGATTATTGATTTGGCTTGTCTACCATAACCCCTCCATGCCAGGGAAGTTTTAAGATGGAATAATTTAAACCAGAATTCCTCCTCCTTCTCATGATAGTCTCAAGGCTCAGATTCTCAAACCTAAAGAAGTCTTCCCTGTGGGAGACAAATACATTGGTTTGGGCACCAGTACTTGATAAAGTTTGACTAACCAGCTATTCCTCTTCTTATTAAATTAGACTCAAAAAGGGCAAGGATCCAGATAACAGGATTTTGTCCATCCACAATGGAATAGTAAGAGTGGGAGGCTAAAGTGGTTTTGTATCATTTTCCATGCCAGTTGTTTTTTCCCAAAAAATAATTTTTTTCAAGGTCAAAGCATTCATATTTTGTAAAGCTTGCTGGCCATACAGTCATCATCATTTTCTGAAGGTCCTGGAGCCTCTCAGAAATCAAAGGAGGGAGCCGGGGGTCTCAGTGCCCCTTCTTTGAATTACACCCTGAACTGGAATAGAAGTCCTATGAAAAATAAAACAAAACAAAATTAAGTTAGTGTGCCCTCAGAGACTGTGAGCACTTTTCTTTTTCCTTCTCTTTTTCTTTCTTCTATTCCTTTTTCTTTCCCATTTTATCATTCTGTATACCATCTGTTTCATTTCTCTCCCCTGCTGTCTTCCTATTTTCATATCCCCTTTTTCTTCCTTTCATTCTCATTCCACATGAAAGACAATATGATGAATGGTCAGAGATGTGGACCTGTCATTATAAGACCTTGGTTTGAACCTGAACACATTAGCTACATACCCATTGGCAAGTCAGTTAACCCCTTTGGACCTCCATTTCCTAATCTGTAAAATGGGAATAAGTCCAATTCAACAAGCATTTATTCTTTCCCACTCCCCCCACCCCCCATGCCTGGGGATATAGAGTTGAAACAAACAACTTTCTGATCACAAGGAACTTATATTCTCCTAGAGCAATAATTCTTGCCCTCTTTCTTTATAAAGCACTTTGCAAAACCTAAAACACTATAGTACTGAGAGTTATTATTGTGGGGGGGTGTATGCACATATATGTCTATACATATATTTAAGTACTTTTCATGTGTTTGCATATAAATATGTGTGTGTGTTTGTAAAATGTGTGCCTACAATTAGGTTCCAGTTTTATGTATGTTAAGACCTGGTATAGAACAATTAAGTTGGGTAAGACTGAGGATTTTAGAGTACTTTTAGTGAGAGTGATTCCCCTGGTCCACGTCTTGTTGTATGATCACTCAATCTTATTGAAGCACTTTGTCTTATCCTTAAGTGGCCTCTGAGAATGTTCTACGGAGATCCTGGGTACAGAACTCATTGCCATCCTGTCTAAGCCAGTACCACCTGAAGTTCAGATTGCGACAAGAAAACAACGTGACTTTTAAGCAGATCAGTTTTCTTGTTTGGGCAACCCTGACAAGATTGCTGACTCATGTAAGTCTGATTTCAGGCTTATAGAAACTGGTTTGAGTAATTTGGGCATTATTGCGAGTATGATGTCAAACCTGGGAATCATAAAGCAGCAGTGAATCCTCCTTATAAATGGATTCAGAAGCAGAAAAAATATCTGCAGCAAATTTCTCAAATAAAATTCCAATGTGCAATATGTATAGGGAACTGATACAAAAATACAACGGGAGCCATTCCCCAGGTGACTAGTGGACAAAGGATATGAAAAATCAGCTCTCAGAAGAGGAAAAACAAACTAGCCCCAACCATCCAAAATACTCCATGGCTCCAAACATAAGAAAGTTGCTAATCAAGGCACCTCTGAGGTTTGACCACAGACTTTGGAGTGACAAAGAAATCACAAGGAAATGACAGATGATGGAGGAGATGTGGAAAATGGGCACAGTTCTGCACTGCTGATAGAAATGTGACTTGGTCCTTGCATTCTGCAGATCAGTTTGGAACCGGGCCCCAGACTTAATAAGCCATGCATGTCATTTGACCAAGTGGCCTCTGCTTTGAAGAGATTCTATTTAAAAACATGTAAAGTGCACATGTGCAAAAAGATTGATAATACCATACTTTATTTGTTGTAACAAAGAAAAGAAAAACACGAAGGTGCCCACCAATTGGGAAGTGACTAAACTAAAGGTTGTACATACACTAATGGAATAATATTATGCCATAAGTAATAAGGAAAGGGGTGGATTCAGAAAAAAAAATTAGGAAGACTTGAAGGCACTGACGTAGAATGAAGTGAGAAGAATCAGAATAATTTGCACAGCAACTTAGTAATGACAAACAACTTTGGCAGCCTGAATATCTCAATTGGGTGGAAAAGTTTTCTGTGATGACCCAGTAAAAGGAATTGGGGGACACTTGTCCTACATCATCTTTTCTCTAAAGTGTAGAAGAATCAAGCTTTTCCCATCGGGTGAGAATCCCACCACACAGAGCCAGCTGTCAGCCTGACGGCCCAATACTGGGCAGCTTAGGAAGGCCAAAAGTGCCCTAACAAAGAAATTCAGGTTTGGTCATCTCTAAGATCACTTTTCAAATCCCTCTTTGTAATACACCAAATACCCACAGCCCTTAATACTAACCCCAACTCTTCTTCAAAGGAAAAAAAGAGCGTTGCTACCCTTTTGTTCCTTCAAGAGACAGACTAATAGGCATCTGGTGTGCACAGGGCATTCTGCTAGGACTAGGGCCAGTTCAGAATACAGTCTGGGCCCTGTCCTCAGGGAGCTTACAGTTAGCAGAAGAACAAAGAAGATGATAATCCAAAATGCTTCAATGATCCTGGAATCTGAAATTTCATTAACATCTATCTAGCTCCCATTCACACAGACTGATACCCTGGCTCCACAGCCCCACCTAGGTTTATGACAGTTGCTGTGGTTAATCTTTTCTCAGCTCTTCTTGACCCCACTGCTGCACCTGATAATGTTGGTCACTTCCTTCTCCTGAATACCATCTCTTCTCTTGCTTTTATAACACTATTCTCTCTTGGTTCTCCTCTTACCTCTCTGTTGGTCTCCTTTGCTGTGTCACTAGGAAGGAGGGAGGGAGGGAAGAAGAGAAGGAATAAGGAATAAAAGAAGGGAGGGGTAGAGGGACGAATGAATGAATAAATGAAAAAAATAAGTTATTTAGTGCTCATTCTATGCTAAATACACTGTGCTAAATTCCAAGGATACAAACATAAGTGAACAAAGATAATCCTTCACCTGGAGGAGTTATCTTCTAATGGGGGAAAACAATAAATAAAGGAGATCCAGAAAGGGGAGAGGAGGACAGAGTAGACATAATGGGTCTTAGTTTGAAAGTGAGCTGGTGGACTGATTCCAGGCAAACTGAGGAGACAGCTTGCCAATCAGAGCTTAGGGTCCAAAGGGCAGAACCCAGGATGCTATGGGAAGGGAATGAAGGATGTGGTTGAAATAAAGACAGCATGCTTTGGAAATGGCTATGTTATCATCCCTATCACACCTGCTAACTGTGTGTTACCCATGATTTAGCCTTACAACCTTTTCTCTTTCTGTGTTTTCTCTCATTGTAACCTCACCAGTTGTCATGAGTTTAATTATCATCTCAATGTAGATGACTCAAAGATCCGTCTATCTAGTCACATTCAGTCTTATTGTCAGTCTTGTATTACCGGTTGCTTTTTGAACATTTCAAATTATATGTACTGTCAACATATCAAACTGAACCTGGCCAAAACTGGACTTATTAAAAGACTGGAAAGATAAGAAGGGGTTAGGTTTTGAAGGGTTTTGAATGCCAAATAGAGAATTTTGTATTTGCTCCTGGAGACAATAGGGAGCCTGGAGTTTATTGAGTATGGGAGTGACATAATTGAATCTAAGCTTTAGGAAAATCATTTTGCTGCCTGAATGGAGAATGGATTGGAGTGCAAAGAGACTTGAAATAGACTGAAACACTACCAGACTATTGCAGTAGTCCAGATGTAAGGTGATGAAGACCTGAACTAGAGTCATGACAGTGCCAGAAGAAAGGAGGTATGCTAAAGGGTTGTTACAGAGGGAAAATCTACAGGGCTGGGCAGCAGATTGGATATTCTGGGGGGTAGGGTTGAGTGAGAGTGGGGAACATAAGATGACTTCTAGGTTGGGAACCCCAGGGACTTGGAGACTGGTGTTGCCCTCTATGGGAATATGAAAGGTAGGATGGAGCGGGGGAGATAAAAATTTCAGTTTTGGAGATGTTTAGTTTAATATGTTTA